TATCAGCTGCTTGTGTGACAGTCAGACAGTGAATAGGCCTACTTTACAGCGGCCACTGCTGTGAGTTAACGGGAGAATAAACTCCAGTGGACGAGCAGCACTGCAGCGGTCGGTAAATGCCACTGTAACACATTAATAAACAATGAACCACAGCACTCTGGAGAAAAGTACAAGGTTGGAGAAGTAGTTATCTAATTTAATCTGGCTTCGTATGATTAAAAGTAACACGATCATCGACCCGACGCAGTCCCCCATTGTTGTTGTTGTTGTTGTGAGCGAAGCACGGAGCTAGAACGGGAGCTGCGTTGGTGTGAAAGGGGCAACTTGTCACTTGTGTGGGACTGACCCGAGCTTGCGCCTCGTCGTTCTGATAGCTCCGCCCCTTCGCTCCAACCCCCCTCCCTTCCCCCACATCTACAGGTGAAAATTACTTTAGCGACACATTCATTGCAAGAAGTGTAGCAAAAGTCAAGGCCGCAGATTCGTCGATTTATACTGCCACAGAGCAGATTCGTGAAGTTGTAATGGCTGATTTGAGAGGTTGTAATAACCAAGTTGCAGTTGTAATGGAAAATATATTTAAAAAATATTTTTTTTTCTGCAAGTGAACATTTCATCACTAAGTTCATTTTTGTTCTACAAGCTACAAAACTTTTTTTTTTCTTCTGTGACTTCAAATTTGGTTCACAGATTCGTGGATATTTTATACAAGTGTAAATGTATGCACACAAGCTCAGATTTTCTTTCTGCAAGTGCTCACATCAGGTTTTACACGCTCTCGCATTTTGCACCATATCTACCTTCATAGGTATTGACCAAAATAATTCAGTACCAAGCTTCTCCACTAAACATATTGGTCCCTTTTTATACCCAGATCTAGAACTTGATGTATCTGTATCTGGGTTATTTTTTCTTATGCAAAATGTATCATTGTAAAACACCCACACACAATACGATTTTAAGGCTTATTTCTTCACAAATCATCAAAAGACAACAAACAATGGAGCGAATTATTTACTTTCCAGGTTTTTTTAATTAACTTTTGATGTTTTTAGAAACCAAATATTACAGTCACTTCACACAATCAAGTTCAACAACAAACAGATGTTGCATTGCGAAATGAACCGCAGAAACATAAAGCTGACGAGTTTATCTCCAAAATGATACATCACCCTTTGATACAAAATCTGTCCTATTTGGGTTGCCGTATGGAGTTGTCCAATATGGCGGACCATCTCGCACATGCGCAATGCGGATCTGGTAGGGATGCGGATCGGGTAGTCACACTATCTAGTAAATCGCGTTCACACCGGAATAAGTCCCTGAGGGAGCCGCTGACGTCACTTCTTCTTCTTCTGCTTTGGGTTTACTGGCAGGCCGCAAACAACTTCACGGCGTATACTGCCACCCGAAGTCCACGGCCGGAAGTCCCCAGAGTTGGGGACTGGCTTCAGTAGAAGCTGCTGGGAGTCTTCCCAGCAGCCTTCCGAGTAAATCGCCAGAAGCGTCGACACCTCCTCATCACTCCACCGCTCCCATGTTTTCTTTTGTGTTGCCATAAGTTAGTCTCTCTCCGTTGGTGTGCTGGGCTAATGCTAATGCTAATAATGCTAATGCGAGCAAATAAAATGGCGGCTTCACAAAAACATTTCAGAGTTTTACGGGGCGTGGTTTGCAATTCGCCCAGCCAATCAGAAATTGGAACCTTTTTCTCCCCAGGAAAGTCCCTGCTCTCTAGCAGGGACTAAAAAGGGGTGAAAAGGTTCGCAAAAAAAAGTTCTAGTTCCAGATCTTTTTGGTGTGAATGCAAAATCCCAGGAACTATCGGAACTATTCCTGGGAAAAGTACTCCGGTGTGAAAGCACCTAATGGGACTACGGTAGAGAGAGTCAGCAGCTTCAGGTTCCTCGGTGTCCACATCACTGAGGACCTAACATGGACTCATCACACTAACACCATCACCAAAACAGTGGCTCTTCTTCCTCCGCAGGCTGACGAGGTTCAACATGGACTCCAGGATACTCTGCAACTTCTACAGGTGCACCATAGAGAGTATCCTGACTGGCTGCATCACGGCCTGATACGGCAGTTGCACCGCCCTCAACGGTAAGATTCTACAGAGGGTGGTGAAAACCGCACAGCACATCGCCAGGAGGGAGCTGCCATCCATGGAGGATCTTTACTCCCAGCGGCTCAGGGTTAGGCTTATAGAAGACCCCCATCACCACAGCCACAAACTGTTCTGTCTGCTGATGTCTGGCAGGCGGTACAGCAGCATCCGGACTAAAACCACCAGACTCTGGGACAGTTTCATCCCACCGGCCATAAGACTGTTAAACACCTGAACTTTTGAAAGAACATCCATAACATTCATCTGGCTGCAACTTACACATTATTTATCCAATATATCATATTCCAATCACTTGTATATAGACTCTTATTGCACTATTTCCCTATTTATTTTGTTGTATTACTTGCACTACCTTTTCTGTTTTTTCTGTTTTATTGTGTTGCACTGTTGGTACAGCCTGTGACCTAAGATTTTCATCGACCTAACTACACTGTAGCTATGTACGTATGAAAAATAAAAGCCTTGAACCCTATCTCTTTTGTCAGGAGAAATAATGTTTTGGCTGCTTTGACTGCCGTCTTGTAGTCGGAAAGGCAAGCACGAAGGATTTCTAGGGAGACATGGAGTTTATCCTTTTTCCATTTTCACTCTGCACGCCTGCAGGTGCGTCTGAGAGCACGAGTACAGTCATTGAGCCACGGCTCTGAGAGAACTTTGGTGCGTCTAAGTGTAAAAGGAGCAACAGAATCCAGTATTAGGGTACATGTCGAGTCAAACATGGAGATAAGCTCATCAGCACTAAAAGCACAGTTCACCTCTAATTTACAGATCAGGGAAGCATTAAAAACATCAGAAAACTGTGAGGCAGTCAAGGGGTTAATCGAACGCAGACGACGCGCAGCGGCACGTGATTCGACTCCTGCTGAAGGGATCGAAGTTGTAAACAGAACCGGTAAATGGTCTGAGATACGCGTTGCTGCACGGATTTCATCCACAGAGACAGACAGTCCAAACGATAATACTAAATCTAAAGTGTGCCCTTTTTCGTGTGTTGGGCCAGCCACGGACTGAACGAGACCAAAAGAATCAAGGAGATTTAAAAAGTCCCTAACCAGAGGTTTGGACTCGCAACACACATGGACATTGAAGTCTCCGGAGATCAAAACACGATCATATTTCACCATGATCCCAGACAGAAAGTCAGAAAAGTCAGAAAAGTCATTTATGAAATCCTTATTGCACTTTGGCGGACGATACACGACTGCGCAGAGCACAGACGAGGCCGGGTTCAGTTCAAAAAGCTGCAACTCAAAGCTAGCGTAGCTAGTTACAGGGTGAAGCAATCGGCATTGGAGGCTAGCTCTAAACACTGATGCACCATGGCCGGTGGTACGGGGGGAGCTGAAGAATGTACAGTCGGGAGGAAGAAGTTCAGAGAACGATGTATACTCGCCAGCGTGGACCCAGGTCTCCGTCAGAAACATAAAATCCAGTTCACGAGAGGTGAAGAAGTCATTTAGCAGGAACGTTTTGTTTGCTATCGACCTAGCAAAGCCATGCAAAGTTTTTGCTCCGGGCTGGCCGAAGGTGTAGTGCTGACGAAGATGTGCGTGTTGAACGCCGCGCGGGCCGGGAGCAGTCAGTCGGGCAGGAGGAGCTGCCAGCGGGCCCAGCAGAGGCCGCAACTCCGGAAAGACAGGGCGAATCCATCGATCCCTCACATGGCGTGCAGCGGGTGGGCCATGACATCTGATGCGTAGATAAGTCATAAGTGGGGGGGGGGGGGGGGGGGGGGGCGATTTATGGTTGCCAGATGTAGGTTTGGGCAGCAGTATAAACTCCAATGAGGGTCTGAGGTGGAGGAGACAAGACAAAAGCAGGATAGCTAAAGGCAGAGAGCTGAGGGAGCGGCGAGCCGACACAGGCGCCATCTTCCCACACACTGGTCACAGCTGTTATGACCGAGGACTGACCCTGCTGCCAAGGTCACCGGTGTGTGTGTGTGTGTGTGTGTGTGGCCTTGAAAGCACTTCAATTGCGTTAAATCAGGACGGAGATTATTTTCTTAAACTGTTCTTGTGTGGAAGAGATTTGTATTCGAAAACAAACAAGGAAAAACGGAATACATGTGGATAAGTATTGAAATTGAGGGTGAGGGTTGTGTTAAAAGAACTTTATCCTGGCATCTATAATTTCAGTTTCAAATCTAAAACGACCCCGGAGCGTTTGCAGATATGTTCCTGATAACAGCGGGCAGACTGCTGATGGCAGCCGGCAGCAGAGAGCGAGATCTGACTTTTTCCCTGCGGCAACTCCATGATGTATGGAGTGTTTAGTCACCAAACTGACCTCAAATAATTGAGTTATACACTTTGCTTTGCCTTAGTTCTCGTGTCAAAGTGTAAAAGTAATTGGTGTCTGGCGACATTTTAGGGAAAATTCATATACGATAAACTTTTGGAGTAAGAACCAAAAACACACCTGCAGAACCGCTTATCGCCAGAGGAGTCTCCTAAAACAAAAAACTTTTTCAGGTAATCTGTTAAATATTACTATGAGTGATTGATTATTAACAGGATGAAATATTTTTCTTTAAAACATTTTTTTGTTGTATTTCCAGCGTTTATTTAAAAATCAAAACTGATGTTCTTGTACAGTGAACTTTTTCTACAGTTGTGAAATTCAAAAAATAGACATTGGGACATACAGTTGTGTATTAGCATGGTCAAATGTGCTTACTAGCACTAAATACAAATGAAAGCTGAGGCTGATGGGATTTTGGCTAAACTTATGCTATGGCTCTCCGAGGAGGCCACACAAGACATGTAAAAAATGGAACCAGTGGAGAATTGTAATTTAAGGACAGATGATCCGTCCTTTTTCTTGCAAAATCCCCTCACAATGACGCAAAGTAAAAACGACCACTCAATTCAGTTTCATACGTAGTCTTTATAAAATAATCTCAACGTGAACAGTTTATTGGTTCAAATTGCACTGGAACCACAGCTGAAACCAAAACCAAAACCAAATGACGACAAACCTCACAGCTCCAATAAGTAAGAATGAGAAAACGATGTGTATATGCATTTACATACAATTAATTTGTTTATTTCAGATCTGAAAAACACAGGTAAGGACTCAACAGAACCACTGGGGGCGCTCATGTTGTGTCAACAGTGAAAACACAAATGTCTGATGACTGTATTGAAAAAAAATAACATTTCCACATGTAAACAGTGAAAAGGCAAACAAGCTGCTCTCTAGCAGAACACATCAAATTTGTCAAAATAAACTTTAGATATTTATATATAAAATACAAATAAAAAGAATCTGTGTGCTGCTCTGATCAATTTAACTCCCAGTCTATGTACAGTCAAGGCTTACAAAGCTCATAAAGTCAGGGTTAGATCACATTCAGACACACCGTCTCACAAAGCAAACACTTGCTGCCTGCGTTCCCTTTACCTCCCATCGATTCCCTTTAATCAGCCACCTTTCCCTTTAAATCCATCCTATACACAACATTTATCTGTATCATGTATCTGTCTAGCAGACTGGTGTGTTTTTTTCCTCCGTTCATCTCTCGTCTTCCGCTTTACTCCATCTTGGACATCTCGTATTTAGTCATTATTGTTTCCTGTAACAGAAAACATAACACAATAATAAATACCGTTTTACAGCTGCATGAGAAACTTTGATCCTGATACTAATAATTGAAACTAGTTTTTTTTTCAAATCAAAAGAGCTACACATGAGGGTAGGGTGAAAAGCTATACATCATAGGATTTAAATATGGTGATACCGGCACACATTGGAAGACATTTAGTCAGTAAACAAAAAAGTGACAGGAAAAGTCTTGTCAAGAAAAAAAGGAAAAAGGCGTGCTAGAGCGAGAAACCCTGACCCAAATTCTCACCTCTTCACAGCCTCAAGAGCGCAACAACGTCTGATTGGCGGGTTTTTAAAAGTTACGGCATATCCGAAGACGGAGGCAGGTAAAGCAATTTCCCTTTATTTACCTCCTAATCGTGATGAATAACATAATCTGTTACTGTAGGAATAATATGTCATAAGAACACCTCTTAAATGATAAGCATTACATAATATGCCATAAGGACACAGCACATCACCACAACGGAGCTGCCATCAATGGAGGATCTTTACTCCCAGCGGCTCAGGAAGAAAGCCCTCAGGATTATAAAAGACCCCCATCACCCCAGCAACAAACTGTTCTGTCTGCTGCCGTCTGGCAGGCGGTACCGCAGCATCAGGACTAAAACCACCAGACTCAGGGACAGTTTCATCCCACAGGCCATAAGACTATTAAACACCTGAACTTTTGAAAGAACATCCATAACATTCATCTGGCTGCAACTTAGAAATTATGTATCTAATATATCATATTCCAATCACTTGTATAGACTCTTATTGCACTATTTCACTATTTTCTTTTTTGTATTTACTTGCACTATTTTTTCTGTTTATCTGTTTTATTGTGTTACACTGTTGGAGGAGCCTGTGACCTAAGATTTTCATCGTCATAACTACACTGTAGCTATGTACGTATGACTAATAAAAGCCTTGAACCTTGGATAGTAGGAAGTTAATGCAATTATTTTCCTAATCTAATCTTAACCGTTGTGTTGTGTTCGAAAGCTGTTACCGTTCATGGTGTTCGCGGGTCAATTTTGACCCATGATTTATTTCAGTCCAAAACACACAAGAAAAATGACTATCATCCAATATTGTTTTAACTACATCATAACTAACTTATTATGCATTCATAACCGTACAATCCTGTTGTAATTACATTTTATGGCCCCAAAACTCATTACACCACAGATTGCACACGTGCATGTGTGTGTTCAGGTTCAAGTGTTAGTGTACATATTCTTTGTGAAAGGTCGAGTTCCCGTGGGGGGAGGGGGCCAGAGGGATGGGAGACCAGGTGCATGTTGCGAAAAATTATTGTTACAGTGGATGAAGGGGGTGGGGGTGGGGTGTCTAAAGTCAAAGATGAATCTTGATGGAGTCAAATTTGGCTCCGAGTGACCGACAACAATGCTGCCGGGTCTTCCCAGACCCGAACACCAAATTATACACTTTTTTTTTTAGAGACCTTCAGACTTGGCTAAAATGGTCAAAATCAGTTTTGTAGTGTTTATACAGTATAGCTGTTGTGGAGGATATCATGAAGCCTTGTTCCGTAAAAAAAAACTAGAGCGTAGGTATTATATAACTTTAACTTGAAATGGGTCACGGGAGACTCGAACACAACATAAGGGTTAAAAGAAAAATGTATGCATTGTTCACTTACATATGAAACAGTTTAAAATGCATACTTGATATACCAGCCTTCATTATTACACAGCTTAGTTGAATACTTGACACCGATTGGTCCAATTGGACATACCAGCATTTTGCACATTTTCGCGAACAGACCGCTGCTAAGGAGAACAGACCGTTGCTCAGGAGGATCAAGGGAGTGTGTGCAGTCATATCAATCCACAGAAAAAAGTCTGCTCAAACATTAGTTTCCTCCATCAGAAAACAAACTAAAATACTTTTTGAATATTCATTTTTTATTTATTGAGATCATGACACTTTAGAGTCAGGATGGCTAACGGGAGCAGCAGAAGGAGATAAGTACACGGTGACGCTGGTACACGTTTTATTTACTTAGCGGAAGCAATCCCATCATTTTTAAACTAATACAAATGGTTTTAATCAATATTGGGAAGTTTTAAACCAGAGCCAAAGTGCCAAAGCTTTCTCTGTTCCCTGCTTCATGTCTTACAACAGGAACCCTATAAAATGTAATTCCATAGAGCAAGTACTTAATATGGATTTTAAAATCTGTCAGTGTTCATACAGAAGCTTACATAAGAAATTGTTTCTGCTTGAGAGGCACTTTGTTGATTGATGGATCACTTTAAAAGGTTCAGCTCGGAGATGAAAGAGTAAATAATTTGGAGATGGTTCAGAGAGATTGTGACGGAACATCAAATAATAAAGACAATAACACACACACAGGCATGTTGCAATCACATTGTTCTGCTCGCCATGACAACAGGGGGAAGGATAACAACAGTGTGATGTAACCGTAGCAACAACTGCTCTGCCTTGATGGTATGCCACCCCCTGCTGCTGCCAATAAGAACTACAAATATGATAAACAAGTGTGTGTGTGTGTGTGTGTGTGTGTGTGTGTGTGTGTGTGTGTCAGAGGTGGGGACTCGAGTCACATGACTTGACTCGAGTCAGACTCGAGTCGCATATTTTTTTACTTGAGACTTGCTTGACTAACATTGATAAAAGACTTGACTTTGACTTGGTATTCATGACTTGAGACTTGACTTAAGCTTGAGACAGATGACTTGAAAGGACTTGACTGTTTAAAATTAAATATTTGCGTTTGTTTTTGTAGTGAGATATTACGTTTAGTTTTTTCGAAAAACGTGATTGGGTGATTATAGCGCCGTGCGCGCAAACCTGGCAACCCACTAGACGGCAGGAGTGTCAGTTAACATGGCAGCGGCTAGCGTTACTCCACAAATAGTGAAGTTTGGATTCAAGGATTATGTTGTCGATGACGCTAATAAGAAAAGAACAGCGGTATGCAGGGTCTGCAGCATAAAGATCAGTGACACGACCACCACAACATCCAACTTCATTCGTCACTACAAAAAAACCCACAGAGAAAGGTGCGTGAATGTGTTGTGTTAGCTAGAAAGCTAAAGCTTTGATCTGTTATGATGATAAACTGAAGCAATTTCAAAATTAACCCAATTAACTGAGTTTTAAATCGTCCTACTTAGTTTATAAGGAAATTATGAAGAGGAACAAATTAAATGATTTGAAAATTATATCTATGTAGGTGCTGACGCTGTTGGCGGTTCTAGTGTTTACAGAAATGTAAATTAAATATGTGTAATGGCAAATGCCATATACGATTTTCTTACCTGGAATTCTGCCTTTTTGAACAGACTTTTTGATTGAGTCCTAGCTATATTGTCTGCAGTTCTAGGGTTAATATTGATCTAATATGATTGTCATCGGTCTAAATTAGATTTCAAATGATTAACTGTGTATGTAATGAAGATCATAGTGTGGGTTAAATTCATTTTCATAACCACTGTCTTTTAACTGATTTAAATGCGGAAACTGGGCTTATTCATCAGAATTTCGTATGACTTGACTTGACTTTCACCACAGTGACTTGGGACTTGCTTGATACTTGTAGGTCGAGACTTGAGACTTGCTCATGACTTGCACATGTAGGACTTACTCCCACCTCTGGTGTGTGTGTGTGTGTGTGTGTGTGTGTGTGTGTGTGTGTGTGTGTGTGTGTGTGTGTGTGTTACTGTATATCAATCTTGTGGAGATTTTCAAGATGTATTTTGTAAAACATTAAAATCAAGCTTTTTAAAAGGCGAGTGGATTTTGGCAGGCAGTGAGTGCGGACCAACGATTGAACGATAAATAGAACGGCTCTCACCAAGTACGACTCGGTTCCCCTCGTTCGTATCAAAGAGCCGTTCAAAAGAATCGGCTCGTTCGCGACCGACACATCACTAGTGCCCAGGGGCCAGAATAATACTGTTGACAACTTATCTAAACGTTCTTAATCAAAGCTTACAGTTACCTGCTTACTAGTCAGTAAATGCACCATACTGACATTACTTCTTCTGTTTTTGGTTGCTGTATATTTTTAAATGACTTCAACTTTGAAACAGGATCTATAAAGTTGATTTTTAAGTTAATTAAATGTTCTGTGTGTGATTCATCATAGTTTAGTAATGATGTGTAAAAGCCTTACCTCATCAGAGTCCAGCAGGGGGGGTAATGCACTGTGAGAAGGAAGGAAAAGCATAACATTTAAGAAACATTCATTTATGATGCATAATTATCATAGCCAAGATACTGATGTCGCGCTGATGAAGACTTACACATCTGCCAAAGATGTCGGGATGTTCTCTTCGACCCATTTCAGATCCTCATCCTGGAAAAACAACAAAGTGGTGTTAAGCTGATTTAATGTAAAAAAGATGATATTGCATGTGGCACCAACAGTTGTTTTAGGGCTTTGTTTCACTCTGGATAAAGCAGAGTGCTGAATATCTGAATGGTTGTTATAGTCAGAATGACATTAACCTCTTTCATTTAATTATCTTTTAAAATTTAAATAAACAGTATAAACTTAGAAGAGATAATACAATAATCTAATTTATCTTTATTTTCAAAAATGTGTCCTGTCATAGAGAAATTGTTTCTTTCCATCCTGGGCAAATATAAACACAAATAATGTCAATCCAAACCACTATCCCTAGTGTTGAGAATCTGAAATAAATACCCATTAAGATACATTTCATTATCTACATCTCGTTCTTTTGTCCATGCGACCCATCCTCGAGAATCTCAAAATTGATGGTCACATGGGCCGAAAGCACAGGAAAAACATGTGTGAACGGTATCACAATATGACGCCGTATTGCAGTTATAACATTTACTTCTTTGTATTGTACTGATCTCCATCCCTCACCGAGAAATAACATTTGCAATGTGGAATATCCCAAAAACAAACCAGGGATTATCAAGATTGCAAAAAAAAGGAGCTGCAAAGTGTAAACCAAAAGATAAACTGTGAGGGGGGGGAGGGGCCTGACCTTCGTGTGTGAGTTGCACAGACAAAAAACGTAGTTCAAGGGTCATTGTAATTGGTGATAATGATAACTATGTTATACTGTGAAACTGGGATATTTCCTGAGGCGGTTGTGCTGGCATGAAAAATCTCTTACTGTTACAACCACTGTCCGAAATGGGGGGGAGCCAGGGGGAGCTTGAAGAGGGAGGGAGCTCCCCTGAAGGCCGACTTTGAGATAAATAGGGGGAGCCCAAAACAATCGTGCATATTTGTGTCACACAGATAAGAAATGTTGAGTTTCTGTAAATAACAGTTCTGTAAATAAATAATAGTCATTGTTCATTACAGTTTTCTGAATATTTGTTTTATATTTGTGAATATTTCTGGGTGTTGCCATCTGTACGTGGCGGCACTGCATTCTTTACGCTACTTACGTTGCTATGGTTACGGCAGGCAATGCTGGTGTGGTATTTTATATTTTCATACTGATATTGTTTTTAACTCTGGCTTTGTAATAAAAAATATGGCGAAACGAAAACAGCCAAGCCTCGCAGCTTTTGTATTCACAAGCAAAGAAGCGAAGGAGTCTAAAAATGACAACGTGAACGGAACAACTTTTAGTTGGCCGGCTGTAAGCGGCGTTAGGGTCGAGTTTGACAGCTCCACACCGAGGAAGAGGCCTGCCGATGCAGAGCCTGAAGAGGCTTCAACAACGGCCACAGCCGCCGGCGCAACCTGCACTAGCGAACCTGACGATGCCCATGACCTGCCACATGAAACTGGACACAGAAAAGATGGAGTGAGTGGAATGAAAAGGTATCCATGGCTTTTCAAAAAAAATACTTTTTGCCTCTTTGCAAATCTCACGTCCAAAAAAATTGGATGTGAGATTTGCAAAGAGGCAAAAAGTATATTGATCTCCCTGCCTCTTGCAAAAAAATCCACCTGACTGCACCTTTCACAAGAATGGATTCAGGGAAAAGTCAGCAGTGATCAACAGAATAACCTGCGAAAAAAGATTTATAAGCACCATAAGGCACACGAAAAAGCGATCGAGATTTCGGAGATGAGAAAAAAGATGTCCTTCCAAACAAGGTAGGCCTATTGGCAATCAATGTTGATCTAATGCAGGAAACATATACATCTTTGCCTATATGATTGCCAAAAAAATAAATAAATAGGGCTCCCCCGAAAGCAAATAGGTAATTCGAACACTGGTTACAACCCTACAACATGTCTGAGTGCACAGTAGTGTTAGATACAGAACAGCGTGGATGTCTGTGGTATGTTCAAGGGATATATATCAGTCCTTTAAAGGTGGGGTAGGTACGTTTGAGAAACCGGCTCGAGATACACTTTTTGTTATATTCCATGGAATGCTCTTAACATCCCGATAGCAATGGATATCTTAACAAAAAATCCATTAAAAAATGTCATCTGTGGAAGCCGTAGCGCTGTAAAAAGCACGACCAATCATTTTAGCCGGCCCGGCTAAAATAACTGGATGGCCTACCTGCCTGTCAGCCTTCCATCTGTGCACAAACTTATCTCGTGCCCTCATTGGTCATGTGCGCGTTAGTGGGGCTCTGTAAGGAAGTGGCAGATTTTTTCCGGTTGTGTATTTTCAAATTCTAGCGCACTCGAGCTGGTTTCTCCAAAATGACCTACCCCACCTTTAAGTGAAACTACCAAATGAAAAAATACTTACAATTGAGGCAAACTGTTGTTAAACTGGAACTACTACTAACATCAAATTAGTTTGGAAATAGAGAATTTAAAAGAAAAAGGTTGTGAATTTGAAAGAAATGGCAGCTGCTGTTTATGTTTTACTCACCACTTTGTTGGCTTTGGGTGTTCCGTTGGTCTCGTTTTTCATGCCCCTCAATTTCATCCCTTCTGGAGACACAGGAATTAAAAACAGATACAAAAATATGTAAGTCAGGAAGTAATTAACTAAGAGGTATAACTTTCTATGATGCATATTTCAGTAAAAGCGGATCATATATTGGTTTGGCCGCATTAAGTTTAATTTGGCATTTAAATCAACTAATGTGGTAGAGAGGCAAAAGAAAAACGCAGGAAGGGAAGAAAGGAGGCAACAGGAGAGAGAGAAAAGAGGAAGCAAGGGAGTAAAGGAGGAATATTTTTTACCGAAAGCCTCGTTCGCCATGGGCGCCTGCTCCTCTTCCTCACTCTCTTCATCGAACAGAGGACTATAGGCGTACCTGATACACAGAGGAAAAAAGGAAGTGGATTATCTTTACCATTAAAAAGAGAAACAAATAAAAACATTCTTGACATCCTTCTTACCTCTGGTTATTGGCTGATGGTCGCCATAGGAACATGATGACCAATAGGATGATGGAGAACAAGAAGGGCCAGAACGCGTCTTCTATCCACAGCTCCCTCCAGTCCTGCAGGCACAAAGAGACAGATCTTTAATGAAAGCACTCCTAAGGCATTCAAAAATCTTCGTTTTCAGGAACAACAAATATTTCTCTGCTCTTGATCTGTGTATTAATGCTGAAATATCCTGATTAAGGCGGACAAATGCACATTTTAAGTGATTCCAGTGTTTTAAGTTGATTAAAATACACTTGACTTACTAATACACTAAACCTACTAATGATAAATCGCAAAATGACCCGAATACCTCGAGGATAAAGTTTATACACTTCTATTTTTTTCCAGGGAATACGTTTAGGGGCGATGAGATTGGGATAATTAGCACCATTTATCATCCAAATACTGTTCAAATATGCCAGTAGCTAATAGATTGGAAATAAGATTTTTGTCCACCAACCAAGTTAATTCTGCATCTTTGGTGAAGTGCCACTGTTTTGTTTTTTTATAAACATGTTATAACCCTGTCAGCATAGATGCAAAAAGTTCTAGTCAATATATCTAAAAAAAATTCATTAAAAAAACAGGCTCATAGTAACTAAAGTCTGAATCATTATTGCTTTATGTAATCTTTAACAGCTCAAAGTACATCCCAAGAGGGGCATTAGAACATAACATTTTCTAGACCGGAAACAAGAGGCCACCTCTGGTTTTAAAGGGGATGACTATGCATTAGCCTCCATGGCGATAGAACAGGATTTGTTATTGGAACTGAAACACTAAGATAATCTGTACAACAGACCGATTGAACTCTTTTTTAGGAAAGAAATGAGGATGGATTTTGTGTACAAATAATCAAACGTATTGGTGAGTATCGGCTAGAATGACTTTTATTTACATTTTTTATATTTTCTTGTCATTTTATTAAGTAAATATTGATGCAGTTCTGCTAGAGGTGATGTGTGTGGCGCAGCTGTGGCTGCAGTGAAAGGAGACTTGTTGAATTGAGTTATTTGGGTTTCTTTCTTTAGTAACAGCTTTCATTCTCGCTACATTAGATACGCGTATCTGTACAGTATTAATTATTATTACTGAAGGCCTAGGTGTGAAATGCATGGCCCGCTACAGCTTTTGATATAAGGCATATAGCCATTGATCTTGACTCAAGCAGCTGCAACGGATATCTAGAGAAAAAATGTATATTGTTGTATATTAAATGTTAATTTAACTCCAAGTGAAATTCATGAATTATACAAATGCAACAACATTTTATGGGCAGGTTTAACACTGAAAATTCCTCTTTTTTTTTTTTTAAAAGGTCACTGTTTATAGTAAAGCTTTAAGTACTCACAGAATGACAAGTATCACTCTTCAAAGTTGTGAAGGCCCAAATGGTGAAGATGACAGATGCTGTAAAACACACAAACACACAAGCTTCAGATACACAACGTCTGTTTTCAGCAGGTGTTAAAGACCACTTTAAAGAGTATGTTCCGTACCGATGACGGCGAAGATGAGCGTGTTGGTGAAGTGTCTGTAGAGCGACAGCTTCACCGTGTTCCTCCTCAGCTTCAGCAGCTTCATCGTTTGGGCCAGACTCACGAAGATGTGAACACACAGTCAAGGAACAACAATCACCGGTAAAATACACTCTACTGCTGGATTCTGGTTCTAATGTCCTGTTTAAGAATATTGTGTCTACCATTTTCTGACTGATTAAGGACTGTAGAATAACAGACTTGTTAGGTCAAAGAATGTTTTTTCTTTTACACATGCACATTGAATATATAAACTTGTTTCAATACATTTGCAGCATTTTCTAAATGCTAATAGACTGTCAATTATCAGTAAAATACAGCCAAATATACAGCTCTGAAAAAAATTAAGAGACCACTGAAGCATTATCAGTTTCTCTGGTTTTACTATTTATAAGTATGTGTTTGAGTAAAATATTTAATTTATTCTATAAATTACTGATGGAATGGCTGCCATACATGTAGAGATTGAGATTTAAGACACATTTGGAGTGGTTTCTTAATTTCTTCCAGAGCTGTATATTCAAATTGTTCATGTTAAAACTTGATATTAGCATTTAGTGTGCCACCATACCAAGAAAGCAAAAAGGACACATTAAAACAAGAGAGAGGGGGAAAAGTGTAGTTGTATTAAAAGAGGGGAAGGTGCAAGATATCCACCAACAGAGGGCAGAGTCGAGCACAGCCAGGGCAACTACATCACCTTTGGCCAACAGGGGAAGAAAAGAATGACAGAGGTGGAAAGGGGAAAAACATTTCAAACAAAAGAGGGAGAGTAGGTGGATAAAGGAGCAGGATGTGGAAAGAAAAGAGGGTGAAAGAGAAGACGAGGGAGCTGAGAATAGGCAAAGAGAGGTGACCACAAAAAAATGGAGACGCATCACACAAAAAAAAGGTTTGTGTATATAAGTGTTCAACTTTTGTTTCCGTTGATGATGGCTGTTGAACAGTAATTATTATAGATATTTCAATTAATGCACAACATTATTTAGGAGGTTATAAAAGTATTCATTTACTTTCTCTCAGCACAACCTCCTTCGATGCCTTTCCATGCCCTTGTTGGGGCTGAATCCAAGGCACAAACGTAGTGCTTACTGTTCACTCGAACACTAAAATAACAGACAATGATTATAGACAGTTATGTTAAAAAAAAAAGGGTGATACCCTCTGAACTAAGATCTGAATATTTTAAATGATATAATTTGTGTTTTATTTGTAAATCATAGTTCAATTTATTTACTTATGGTAGAAAATAATTTGTGTCATTTTAAGCTTTTAATAAATAACTGATCATGGAACAACTAAGACAAAATTGTGTGTGTGTGTGTGTGTTTACACATGTTAAAGGATATCCACCAGACAATACAGGAGTCAGTGAAGGCCATCACTATTTCACACAACAGTGTAGGTCGGATGTTGTCGCCTCGATCCTGGAGAAATACAGGTTACACATGCGAACACACAAAAGCACATGCACACACACACACATTTTTTGTGACTTACAGCATTGACTTTTAGGATCCCCCCAATGATAGAGACGATCAGGTAGAGCATACCGACCGCGACAACTCTGTGGAGCAACGCCCCGAGTCTGGGCCTGGTGATACAAAATACACAATATTAGGTTCAAGTTAATATTATTGCTTTTAACTAACCTAATACAGTTATGTGAAATTCATTGACATAATACATTCGATTAAAGTAATGTTTCTGTGTTTTCAGTGTGCCATTTGTGGCAGAGAAAATAATGTAGTATTTTTGTTTATTCAACATGAAGCATCCCCTGCCACGTTGCAATATATGGATAACCTGACCCAGATTAATAATTGATTAATAATGTATTATTAATCATGGGGGGATGTCTCCTTAACTGCCATGTTTAACGTATATTTTGGATGGATTTGGCTCATCGTCATTTTGGACTCTACTACTTGAGTGACACCAAGTTTTGAAACTATGTATTCATAGTTCCCTTCATAGCTATCATTTTAAGTGTAGACATTACTTTAGGTGAAATTAAACTCCTTCAGCTTACTTGACGATGCCATATCCCAGACTGGCGATGATCACAAGAATTCTGGCCAGAGTCCTCTTCACGGCAGAGAGCACCACAGCAAACACCACCGCCCCCTGGACTGCAGGAGGACATATTACAACGTGTTAACAATCCAAGCCCTGCGTAACAAATGTTCACTTCAATCACTCCAATGAAACGCTTAATTTCTTCTCCTACACTGAAAAACTGAAACGTTGACTTTAAATGCATTATGTCAACAATTTAGGTTAGTTAAAAGCAATAATATCAAGTTAAAGCTAATATTTTTTTTAACTTAATATTATTGCTATCAACTAGCCTAATACAGAGATTTGAAATCTGTTGACATAATACATTTAAGTAAAGTAAACGTTTCTGTTTTTCAGTGTACCTGACAAGCCATTGTATCTGATGTTCTGCAGCTCAGCGTAGTAGACGGCTTTCTCCACCATGCCCAGGAAGATGACTCCTCCGATCCAGAACTGGATCCTGAGCAGATCCCTCCAGTAACACGCCGACAGAACCAACCACAGCACCGCCAGCAGCACGTACACGATACACATCACCATGAGGAACTGGAGAATAACAGGGAGAAACAACTTCTGACTTGTGGAAAACTTGTGGAAAACTTGTGCAAGAAATGCAAATTGACAAAAATAATAGATTTTGAATGGTTTGAACTTTGGCCTGCTCGTATATGGAGGTATTAAAGTGTGATTAGCAATGATCATTTTTGTGCAAATGTGTAAGCTATGACCAGAATTTTAATTCAACATTCACAAAATGTCTAAGATTATGATCAGAATGTGAAGAGGTGATGCTAACCATGGCCTATCCTCTCTTGTAACACACATGTTCCTATATAGAGGCGACAGTGAGACACTGTAGCGTCAGCCTGCCGTCAGAATATCAAAAGGTACACCAATCGTAGAGCATAAATCTGGTGATGTTCTTTCCTACGGTGTTACTCCTGTTTCAGAAAAATACACTGACCAGCTGTTTTCATACATTTCTGAGACTCGCAAAATAAATGTTCAACAGATTTACATCTTCATTAGGAACCAATGGTCCAGAAGCAGGCCACAAACAGGAAGTGAGAAAATACTGAGAGGCTTACTTCTCTCTGTGTGTGTGTGTGTGTGTGTGTGTGTGTGTGTGTGTGTGTGTGTGTGTGTGTGTGTGTGTGTGTGTGTGTGTGTGTGTGTGTGTGTGTGTGTGTGTGTGTGTGTGTGTGTGTGTGTGTGTTCTTACCACCATCATAGGCCACTCAGTTGCTGAAATGTAGTCATGTGACCCCTTCATGCTGATCTCCACTGCAAGCACAAACAAAGAGTTCATCAGATCCACAGCTCACTACATTAGTTTAACACTTTAGATCAGCTAATCACGCCAAAACACACCTTAAAAATGGACGGTTCAACCTAAACAAAAATAATACATGTTTTTCCTCTAGCCTTTAGTAGTGTTGTCACGGTACCAAAAGACTATGACTTTGATGCAAAGCCTGCCTAAAGTACCTCAACACTGACATCATACTACGAAAAAAAACGAAAACAAGAGGATGGAACTTACTTAAAGGTGGGGCAGGTAAGTTTGAGAAACCGGCTCGAGATACACTTTTTGTTATATTCCATGGAATGCTCTTAACATCCCGATAGCAATGAATATCTGAAGTGCTTTGACAAAAAAATCCATAAAAAAATGTCATCTGTGGAAGCCGTAGTACTGTAAAAAGTACGACCAATCATCTGAGCCGGCCCGGCTAAAATAACTGGATGGCCTACCTGCCTGTCAGCCTTCCATCTGTGCACAAACTTATCTCGTGCCCTCATCATGTGCGCGTTCGTGTGTGTTGGAGGAGGGGCTCTGTAAGGAAGTGGCAGATTTTTTCCGGCTGTGTATTTTCAAATTCTAGCGATCTCGAGCTGGTTTCTCCAAAATGACCTACCCCACCTTTAAAGACTTAACTAAATGTTTTTTAAATGAAAAATACCCACTGAAAATACTAAGACAATAATTAAACTCTTAATTAAGATCAGGGATGTCACAATAGCAGAAATGAAGTAGTCAATACCAGTGACATTCCAGGATCCTTAATACAATTATCATTATATACACATAATCCCAATGCAATACTACAGTGAAAAACAAAAGAATACATCTCTGTGTGTGGATGTGTGTATGTGTCACTGACGCTGTAATTTCCAGGGTTTGGGGATGTTAGCGATGTCCGGGGCCCGGGCATTGTCTTTGATTTCTTTGATTTTCAGGATGAACATGTAGGGTCCGTCCTCCCAGGTCTCAGCCACCGCACTGAATTGACCTGCATCCTGAAAAACAAAGATAGAGGAGTATTTAAAGTTAAATAAAGTTATCGTCTCTTTATGACTGCAGCAGAAAAGATGGAGCTAAGGACGTAGCTTTCCTTTACATGACTTTGGGAGGGACAAATATGAAGTGGGGATGTCTGGGGAAGCTCCCATAGAAAAATGTTAGTGTCAAATATATCATTTTCTGCATTCTGGTAAAAATGTTATGCAAAACTCAAATTATAAACGTCTTTATCTGAAAGAAAACACAATATTGAGTATAACATGTGACAACCAGGCTTTTGGTTTTGCTAACATATTAAAAAATATAAAAAATATGTTGCATGCGATTTTGAAATTAAAGGCCTTTGAATTTCCATTGAACTCATTGTTCAAAACAACGAGTTCAATGCTCACGAATTCAGAAGGGAAAACTTCACATTTAAAAAAAAAAGTAATGTATAGATTTCCATAAACCTCTCATTTATTCTCCTCACTGAGTCAACACATATGTATTGATTGACTTAAAAGTTCAAATGTGTTTCAGCAAGATTTCTTCTCATTTTGAGGGAAATACAAATAATGAATACTACATAAATACAATTGTGATTTAATTAGAATAAAGTCATACTATATCAGAGAACTAAGTCATAATATTAAGAGAATATAGTGAAAAATGTATGAATATAAGGCAGAAATCCCGCCATTTTGTGGCTTATTGTCCCCACTGTGAACTTCACCACCTCCGGTAAAGTGAAGCTCACAGCTACGTCCCTCAGCTTTTCAGGGGGAAGTATTATTAAGCAGGGAGACTATTCCAAACAAAAACCTATGAGTAAATGCTAATTCCTTCATCTATGAAATGGAGCCACCTTTGCTATTAACAGCTTAATTCTTAATTCTTAAAATAACGTCTATTGATTGAAATACTACTGGTTGGAAAATGTCCCTTCTGCTCCCCTGGTAGACCCCCACAAATAATATTGCTGGTTGGCGTCCTGTCTCTGCAGGATAAATAATGTTCTGTAACACAAAACCTGGTATCACCCAGCATTAAAACCAGCCCGGCAAGCTCCCAAGTCACAGGCTCCTCCCACAGGCGGCCTGATAAACAGGTTCACCTCACCCAGCAGGACAGGAGCAGACTAACCTCTTTTGGAGCGACGACAGCCTTTTCTGTGACATTTGAAGGATTCTGCGTCTGTGCTGCAGCAGCCTGAAGAACAGAGAACAATAGGATCAGTGAATTAACACAAACATGCAACTTTTAAAAGCTCAAAACCTAAAATAAATAAAAAAATGGTTTTACGTCACAAAATGCCTTAATCTACATATTATCAGGGAATGATAATACCCTAATGATTTAAATAGGCTATACAAGTGTTTATACTGGGTAGTTTATTTAGTTTATAAACGACGTCTCTTTCATAATGTAATTCAACGGGAAAACGTTGAATGTGTTTCGGACAGTCTGAACTTCCACTTTCTTTCAAAGTGTTTATCAAACATACTTTCTCTTTCACTACGTTTCTCTTTAAATTAATGTTCTACTGGAGTTCTAATGTTGGTTCTGCTACATTTTCTGTGAGTGTTCTACTCTGTGTAGTTCATGCTGTTAATTTAAGTTCATAAACTACACGTTCTAATATTTTTACTGAAGGTTCCCATGTTCTGCTATACTGTATGTTGTATTTTCTTTACTGAGTATTCTACTTGTTGTTCTGCTGTGTGAGAGAGTTGATGTGCACACCTTTGGTTTATACGAAAATATACGTTTGGAATGGTCTGTCAAGTTCATAAATATTTTGAACAAAGGAAAGAATAACATTTATACTTTTTGAAAATGAACTAAAAAATTCAAATAAAGAAATAAATAATAATAAAAAAAACACAGAACAATAGAGTTAAGGTGAGTTATATTTTGCTAATTATTGGAGCTGAAATATTTATTTTCTAATAATTATACTGTGACAATTTCGTTAAATGCCAGTTCAATACAGTGTGCACAAATACTCTTCACTGTTCTAACCATGACTGTGGAATCTGTGGATCTTTATCACCCCCTGGTGGTCAGCACCATATAGGTCGTTCATATGTCAATCAGATAGGACATGAGCCAAACTAAACAGTCCAAGTACTTTTCAAACTGATTTTTCACAGTGCAGCCGTCTATGCTAATAAATGACCTGTGATAGGAATGAGGATGTCTGTTTGTGTATTAAACACGTTGCATGTTTATTTAAGCCTTAATAGTTCAGGTGCCTGAAGCAGCCTAAAAGGTGCGGCGCCCTCTAAACAAAGACTTCCTTTTAAAACAACGCTGGGGCATAAATATTTAACAAAGCTTTGACTTTATTGAGGTTATAAACTATTAACTTTAATAAAGCTTTGCACCTACCGTTGACTGAGCACATCCTGAAAGAGCACTGCGCTAGTAATATTTATTTATTATCCATTTCAAAGTGAAAAAAAGGATAAGGCAGGGTATTCTTAAGGGCGGGGCTACCTTGTGATGGACAGCTGCCAAGAATCTGTCCGATTTGAGTGCACTCCTTCTGTCATAGAACTTTAACCATTTATCTGTGTTCTCAGTTCAACAGTAAATTGTAATATTTTAATGGCTAAATATGTATAATTTGCTGCTCTGTTGTACTTAGCTTAACCCTACCATGTCATGTCTGGTTACAAAATTACAAGATGCCAAATTTAAGGTTACAAAGCTGTAGTCCAAAAAACAATAGGTGATGTTGTGAAAGCCTAATCCAGCTCCTAACGGCCTTTGTAGCCAAACAGCTACCATGTTGCTAAAGTAGCAGCTAGGTTGCTCACACTATAAAGATGTGGCCTATTTGGCTTGTGATTGGGTCATGGGGTTTCACTAATGCTCAAACTGTTGTTCCAAATGACATTAAAATCTTAAACTGGCATGTCATGTATCCAGCCTATTTTGGCTTCACTTTTTAACAGTGAGAGGAAGTGGAGATGCGATGCAAGACATTTTGTTTTAGCAAATGCTTACTATTTTAAATCACCCCATGCAGTGTGACAACAAAAAGTGAAGTTGTAGCAGGGCGGGGGGAAATAAAAACAAAAATAAATAAAATACAGAAATAGGACTAGGACTTTTTCCGGTCAACCAATCAATTTAATTAATTAAATTATGTTTTGTTATTTAAATTGACATATTTGGTTTTTGCTTCTTGGTTTCAGTTTTTTGGTAATAGGACTGTGTTATCTTGCTTTGGTATGTATCGATTATAATTTTGGGCAAATACAGACATTTTAATTTGATGAAAACAAATTGATTAATTAGTTGATTTTGTACCATCTCTATAGGTCACCAAGCTATCCCTCCATCTGTTTATTTAAACTAACCTTTTTATTTTTGACAGATAAATATTTTATATATTCTTCTGTCTGGCGCCCAAATGTAATTGTATACTTTTGGGATAAATCCTACGCTACAAATTGAGCGCAGCAAAATACAATCATATCTGACAGACAAAAAGTGTGGAGAGGATCAGATCTGTGAGCAGTTAATATCATAGAATAGGCATGCAGAGTTTGGAAAGGCACTAAAAACACCTGCAGACTCACGAATGACAAGAAGCAATGATGGTTTTCCCCTTTGAGAACATTGCATTTGTATAGTTTGCATTATAGCTACTTAAAGTCCAACAGTAGATTTTGATTGTGCTGTTTTTTTCTTGTGCAGCTCCTGTGGAGACAGGTAGGGAAACAGAAAGGGTCTCACCTGCTGAGGGATTTCTTCTAGTCGTGTTTTCGTCCCAAATGTATCAAGGTGAAACTGTGTCATAAAACAAACACACCCATATTAAAACATAGCCCCCACATACACTCACTTGATTATTAATTTGTCTGCCATGTGTGTCAATGTATTAAATGTGTGTGTATCACCATGTGGTGCTTGCAGGTGATGGCAGGATATTTATGAAAAACATAATATCCACTTCCGCCTCCTCCTTTGACCTCCGTCGACATGAAGTATTTTTCTGCCTTCGACGCCTGGAGAAGAACAATCAATCAAACAAATAGGTTGTTAGGTTGTTAGGTGTTATTCAGTCAGTACTGTACAGTATAGTACAGTAGAGATTAGTAGAGAAGAGTATAGTACAGTATAGTACAATATAGTTTAGTAGAGAAGAGTATAGTACAGTAGAGTTTAGTAGAGAGGACTTTAGTAGAGTATAGTACAGTAGAGTACAGTTTAGAAGAGAAGGGTATAGTATAGTAGAGTTTCGTAGAGAAAAGTATAGTACAGTATAGAGCAGGGGTTTTCAAAGTGTGGGAAGGTGAGCCTCCCCTCAGAGAACATATGAACAGCCGCGCCCCCCCTCCCAATTATTATTGCTATTATTATTATTATTATTATTATTGTTGTTATTACATTGCATTTCAAAGAGGTCCAGTAAGAGAACATGTCATTAAATGCTCTGTTTTCGCTGTCTACCTTCCGCCATTTGAAATTATTCCGACTGTTTCTCTCCTCTTGTCTCGTCTCTGTGAGTGTTTGAATCTATTGTGCTGACTCACTGACTGCACCGATTTGATTGGCTGAGTAGCGTCACCTCCTTAAAACATTAAACAATCACTTTTTAAAACCTTTTTATCTTTATGTTTTAAACATATTGTATAAAACTCCTCCACTACTTGGACTATTCCTTGCACCCCTCTAGAATAAGCCCGAATGGTCTCAACCATATTGCATCAGTAATAACGTGCACTTGTTGACTTGTTATAACAAGATCGCAAGGACACTGGTAGCGATCGTACAATTGAGTGTTGTTCAGTTTGTGTGTTGTGGAACATGCGTGTCCGTGCATGAAAATATACCACACACCCAATTACAATAGCATGTTCAATTCACTACCCTGGAAGTTAATAAAGTTGTTAAAGTTGGAACAGCCTGTGGACAGCCGTTCTTCCTTGCATGTCAGTCGCCGACACCTTCTTACAGAGGACAGGCACATCTAGCTGCAGCACGACCCGTATATTTTCGCACGCCGTGTTCTCAACACATATCTTTTAAACATTTTTAACATTTTCAACATCGTGGATACATCCTTATATGCTCCCGGCAACACACTGAACGTCAACTTTATCTCCTTATTACACTCACCCCTACTTTAGTGGGAACAATGAGTCTGCGTCTTTGATGCACACAGGAATAAACGCAGATCATCCTCTGGCTGCAGTCTTGACCGGCACTTCCTTTGATCAGAGTCAATGCGGAAAACCCGCACTCACACAGGTAGGTGGAGGTGAAGGGAGTGAGCACTTTAACAGCCTTTTTGGCGAGGTGGGGGAACTCGGTCTCCACAGACAGGCAAAAGTGTGCAAATGTCACTTTACTCGTCTTTTTCTCGTTATTATTTTTTCTCACGCTGCGCCTCCCCTGAAGCTCTCTGGCGCCCCCCAGGGGAGGCGCGCCTCACACTTTGAAAACCGCTGGTATAGAGGACTATAGTACAGTACAGTTTATTAGAGAAGAGTATAGTAAAGCAGTGGTTCACAACCTTTTTTGTCTCGTGTACCCCTTGAGCTGGTCGCCATTCTATAAGAACACCCCCCCCCCCACTCATCTGTGATGATTTGCCAATTATTTATTTTTTTATAAAAAATGATAACTCACCCTTAATAAAGTTGTCAAGTTAAATGCATTTAAATTTGACATTGACACTTATTAACAGTGAAAAGGAATAATATTAAGACTCATTTCTAGCAGTTTTAACATCTTTTGTTAAGACTAGAGCTTTTAATGAGACACTTGAGCTTGCTTGTCTTTCATTAGCTTTGATAGTTCTGGGGGCAGGACACCAGGATTATGAAAATGTATTTTAAAATGTTTTTTTTTGTGGAAATATATTGCAATCCCTAATCTTTCTATATACCCCCTGTAATCCCCTCCAGTACCCTAGGGGTTCCAGTACCCCTGGTTGGGAACCACTGCAGTAAAGTACAGTATAGTACAGTAGAATGTACTGGAGAAGATGAGAGTACAGTACAGTATAGAAGAGTAAAGTACAGTCGAATATAGTACAATACAGTACAGTATAGTAAAGATGAGAAAAGTATAGTATAGTAAAGTAGAATATAGAACAGTATAGTAAAGTACAGTACTGCACAGTAGAGAAGAGTACAGTATAGTATAGTAGAGTACAGTACAGAATAGGACAGTAGAAAATAGCGTGTCTCACGTTCAAACTCAAGAATTCAGTGTAGCAGTGTGAGTTCCTCAGATACCAGGACACGTCCAACTGGACGGGTGAAGACAACGTACAGGTCTCTGTCACCACTGACCACACACAGAGAAAAAAAAGACATGAACGAATTAACAAGAACATTTTGTGTTTTTCTCTTTGCCAACTTAATCAGACTTTGTTGATCCCTGTACCTGAAAACATGACACTGATATTTATTTACTCAACCAACAAAAGGATTTTCCAAAATGTCAGACTGCTTCTTTAAATGTGTCAGAAATAAAAGACAAAAGGGAATTGTTATCATTAGGAAGGTTCCCTTACCTTTGAGATGGATGAAGCTGCTATTGAACAAGGTTTTAGTGAAAAAGAAGAAGTTCGGCTTCTTCAGACTTTCCTGGAAAACAACAAACACAAACAGCTCATCAGACTTCTTCTAGGTAAATTAATATTCGCGTCTCACAGCTCTGCCTATTTTTAATCATGAAATGAATTATTGCAGACAAAACTAGAGACCGTGATGCTAGCGTTTATGTTGAAAAAATTCAGGCTAATCAGCATTTCCGGGAAAATGTCATTGTCCCGGACGATATTGTAAATATTCGTAACTCTTAACAAAAATAATTTCCCTATGCTTTAGAAGCTACTGTTGGCCAACTGGGTTAGATTTCGCTGTAATCACTTGAGGACTTTGCAGGCCGTTGAGAAATTCCACCCTCCATAATGGCAGAGCGCTGTCCTCAGAGCGATGGCATCTCATTTAGCACCTGTAGCATTGAATATTTATTTTTGATGCAATTCAAATTGTTCTTATATTTTTCACCAAAAATGATAACCTGAAAGATTCAAATTTCTCCGACATATTTTTCTCGTGCAAGACCTGTAATTACTGGCTAACGGAAACATGGCATCAAATCAGACCGGGACACTTTTTACCCCACTGGTTGTGACACCCTTGCTTGGACCGCACCCATCTTCAATCTCAAATAAATGTTAATCTCACCTACACACCTGTAAAGTTTTATGAAGGCCTCTTGTGGTCGTGATGCTATCGCGATCACAGAATCTGTCCACAAACATCTGGCAAGGTACTACTTTGTATTACACTTTCATGGCAGCTAATAACTGATCTTCCTATGTTACAGTTTATTTAAGACATGCAGTGCTTGTTTTATGTCAGTGCTTTGTGTGATTTATATCTGAGGTTTAGGGCTTAGCTAGTCTGACTGTCAGCTAAATAAAGGAAAAACGACTGACTGATTTTCATGAAACTTTCATTAGAAACATATTTATATTTGTAGGCCCTATGCCCCATTCCCTATGGGGCATGCACACTTATGTTTCACTTTTGTTAACATTGCTAGATGGGGCATTTGTACTACAGTCTTGTGGATAAGGAATAGTCCGAAAATAAGTTCCTGACCGGTAAAATTTACATGAAATGCTCTGGTCGGTACAACAACATCAAAATCAGATACCAACATGTTGTTGACGCCCTGAGCAATAAAACACATCTTCTTTGTTGCCTACTTTTTTTTCCCACATTCAACTTTAAGGTCATGAACACACCGAAATTGAGAAAAAAATACTTCCTCACTCAGGAAACGGATCATCCAAGGAGCGCCTGAATGCAGCATTGTTGGAGGAGTTCTGGTTGAGGTATAGAGTGGCGAAGTCCCTCCCACTTACTTCCGGGGTATGGGACCTTATTTCGGAAAAATTATGCATTGAAGTCAATGGGGAGAGAAAACTTATCTTTCGATCCCGTTTGAATTGTGCCATGAATTACACATATGATGTTTGTCAAACTTAAAAAATCATTTCCATGTCAAAAAAGTCACAGTTTGTCGTAAAACTGTTGAAATATAAGACTATGAAAAATACGTAACTAGAAAGACTACAAATCCCAGAGTCGCGTAAGTGATGTCACAATTGTTTACCTCCACCATTCAGATACCTAAGATCAGCGCAATATAGATATAATCTATCTATATGGCGCTGGCTAAGATAAGATAACTTTAACAAGATGCCTGTGTGCTTAGTACCAGGTTGTTATTATACCAGCAATGGGTCTTGCTCGTTCTTTTGCTTCCCGTCTGATGAAACGACCAGGAGTGGCTTGATCAAGTTAGCTACCTAGCTAGTAGCTAGCACGTTAGTTAGCATTACAGCCTTGTCATTTTTATTAGCCTTAACATGAAGTAACATTAAGTAACCCAAAATGTTAAACAGTAAGAGTAGTAGTCATATTTCGTGAACCCTTTGAATAGTACTGTCACCGGTGTGATCATTCTATAATACACCATTTAATTCCGGGGGAGAAATGCTAATGCTAACGTTAGCATCAGCGATCTTTTCTACTTCATGCTATCTGCACAAATGGTTGACATTAAACATTAAAACGACCAGGCAGTTCAGAGAGAATCAAAGGAAGGCAGGCAGGCAGCTTTGCATGACATTCTTCAGGACGTGTTTCATTGTGGTGTCACAGTAGTGACGGCCATCTTGGTGACGTGTGTGGTTGACGAGAGATGTAGTTCATTTAGCGTTTCACACAAACAAATGTGTTACTTCACAGTTTTACGGCACATTTTTTTTTTTTTTGACTTGCAAAATTATCTTTTAAATTGACAAACATCATATGTGTAATTCGTGGCACAATTCAAACGGGATCGAAAGATAATCTTTCTCTCTCCATTGACTTCAATGCATAACTTTTGCGAAATAAGGTCCCATGGGGCTCAACCGGAAGGGGAGGGACTTCGCCACTCTATTGTGTACACATGAACTTGATTCATATATTGCATCATCCTAATTATTGTAAAGTACAATATTTGCCTATGTGGTGTGGTAGAAGTATACAGTAGCAGGAAATGGAAATATTCAAGTTAACTTCAAGTTCCTCTTTACTGTAGGATACTTAGTTATAGTTACATTACTTGAGTAGGATACATGTATAACTGCCTGACTGTGTCACCCATTGTCAGAGGTGGTAGAAGTACTCAGATCTTGTACTTAAGTAAAAGTAGAAGTACCAGAGTGTAGGAATACTCTGTTGCATTCAAAATGTTACTAAAAGTAAAAGTATTTGCATCAAAATATACTTAAAGTACCAAAAGTTTCTCTACTATATTATGCAGATTGGCCGATTTCAGAATAAAATATATACTATATGTTTTGATTATAATTATTGATGCCTCTATGTGTTTATCAAGCAGGTAAATGTGCAGCTAGTTTGAATAACTTTGTATACTGCAGGCAGGGTAGCTTGTGAATTTGCTCCAGGTGTAGCTAAAGTCTTATATAAGTGACATTTATATTTCACATTATTAATCCATATGGGCAAAGTAACTAAAGGTACTAAATACATGTAGTGGAGTAAAAGTACAACATTTACCTCTGAATTGGAGTGGAGTAGAAGTACAAAGTAGCAAAACATTGAAATACTCAGGTAAAGTACAAGTCTCTCAAAATTGTACTTATTAGTACATGCACTTAGTTACTTTAAACCACTGAGCATTGTGTCACATATTCTATTAGCTAGCAAACGTTATTGATACTATTCAGACGTAGTGTTTAAGAACCACTACTTCAGCTTCCGCTCCAACCTGTTTTACCTGTGAAACCATCAGTCAAACCACCAACAGGAAAACTCACGCTGTCAACGTTCACGATCCATTTCCCCGGTTCGGACACAGCACCGACCGGAACGCTCATCCCCGTCAGCCCCAGCAGCAGCAGCAGCAGCATCGAGGACCAGAGTCCCGGCCCGCCGCGACCAGGACCCGCAGAGCTCGCCATTTAAGCTAGGAGGAAGAAGGAAGCATCGACAGCAAAACCACCGCGACAACAAGCTGGACACTTCCTGGTTCAGGCTGACGTCAGAGGCACACTGGGAATGATGCTTTCATGGGCCGTGGGAGGTTTATGATTCATTCAAAGATTCGAAGGTTTTATTTCCATATGTTGTAACTAACTACAGTTTAGTTTGGCAATGAAACACTTAAGTCCAAGGCTCCTTCACTAATGCAACATCACTATATATAAGACGTAAAACTAAAAAAACTGTGCAAAAAGAAATAGAAAAGGAAATAAAATAGTGCAAGAGAATGTTGCAAGTGACCAATGTGCAAGTCATGCAGGAGAAGTGAAATATACTATACATCTAAAATAGAATAAGATGAGCTAAAAACGGAATGTAAAAATAAATATTGTAAAGGAAAAAAAAACGGTTTATTGTCATAATAAATAATGGTCTATTTCATTTTACATAAACTAAAAATCTGTACTTTTGCTACTGACTAATAGTAATCTCCCTTGTAGTCTCTACCTGTGAGGCTGTTTCAAGCAATTGTCAAGCAGCTCTAAAAACCTACCCCCTGACTGAATCTATATTGTTTGAGACAATTAAAAGGATATTGTAACACTTGTAAGTGTAAGTTAAAGATCTGTTTTCCTTTGAATGCAGCAATTTAAGTTTTTTCTCATCAATCTTATTTTTGTTTTAAGGATGATGTTTTGGTGGATGATTTTGGCCTGCCCCAGATTCCTGCCTCATAAACTAATGTATTGAAACAAATGCAATTCAGCTTAAAACACTTTTATATGTGTAATACTCTCAGAAAAAGTGCAGTGCTCTTGAATGCAGCTCAAGGCCTGACTCCTCCCACAACCACTTCCCTCATTAGGGCTGCTTATAAAAAGCACCTGTTGGCCATTTTTTCCCCCCCAAGGCTCTGTCTGTCATGGTCAGTGGTACAGGTAGGTAGTCTTTTATAATATATGGATACATTGGCCTCATCCGTTTCTGCTATGTTATGCTCACTTGCTGCTCCTTACAGTTTATCCTGCTTTCAATTGTCCTGCACATCAGTAGTTTGTCAACAAATAATTGAGGGGGCCAGAACAGGGCCAGAACATAGGAATTGTTTGTATGCTGCATGGTGAGCCATTTTTTATGATAATACCTTTTTTTTTTTTTTTTTTAAAGAGTGTTATTAATGGTACTCAAAGCCACCTTACATCTTAAAATTAATCAAAACAACATTTAAAAAAAACACTAAAAATTGTTTAAAAAAAACGGCGCTACATGGGTGCTAACTGGGGCTATAGTCCCGTCATGCCGGCCTCTGGCTTCCCTCTGCTCCCAACATATTAAATCACATCAACACCGTACTAACAACAACACCGTTAGCAAGTAACAACATTAGCAAATGTAGTTATGGAGAGTGGACATTTGGAGTTTGACTAAATTAGCAACTCAAGATTAAATGTCATGAAAGGCCAACTCCCAGACTACTAGAGCTTCATACGGAGAGGAAAAACAAGGGATTCTGACTTTTAATGAAGTCTGCATGGAGTGGCTAGATGGGAGTGCAAAGCTTCAGCTGCTAGTTTGCTAGCCAACATATCTATTGACTCTAATGTTGTGGAGGACCTGAAGGCTGTTGGGAAATTCTACTGCATGTTTATTGACCACTTCACCACTATTTAAGACAGGAGGATGGCCTTCCTCTACTAATAGTCTAATAGGGTGAGTGAAATACACACCCCCTTCTCTCTGTGATGCTACTGTTTACTGAGCTGCCCGTAGGTTCTGATGTGGTTATGTTGCTTACTGTGTACTGCTGGCCTGGATTTAGTTTCATATATAGAGAGAGAGAGAGAGAGAGAGGCAGAGAGAGAGTGCGTAAGTGTTGGTAAACGTGTCTGCTGGATTGTGTGCCGCACAGTGCATGGCAGCTTGTTACGTTATATCACAGTACATTAAACTAAAGATATACCCAAAAAAAAGTTATATGAAAAACAACGAGAACTTCCATAGAGAAACTGAAGTCATGAAATTGACTATTTTCTTAGCACCCCAACGTGTCTATCCCCGCCTTAGCACCAGGAGAGAAAATATCCTGGCGCCCTGCCTGCTAAAAATATATAAAACACAACATTAATTACAGATTAAAGCAGTTCTGAAAAGGTGTGTTTTTTATGGTGAACATGGTGAGATTGGTGCAGTCACAGATGTGTTTGGGGAGTGAGTTCCAGAGGGAAAGGGGCAGAGAAGGCTCTGAAGGGCTTTGTAGGTAAGGAGGAGGATTTTGAAATGGATGCGCTTGGGGATCAGTAGCCAGTGGAGGTTCTTCAGGGACGGACAGGGTTGATGTGGTCTCGGGAGTTGGTGTGGTTGAGGAGGCGGGCGGCAGAGTTCTGGATGTACTGTAGTTTGAGGAGTTTGGAAGGTGTACCGTAGAGCTATTGCAATAGTCATGTCTGGATGAAATGAAGGCATGTATAACGGTTTCGGCAGCAGAGAAGGAGAGTGATGGGCGGAGGCGTGCAAAGTTTTTGTGGTGGAAAAATGCAGTTTTGTTGATGTGGTTGATATGGTTTTCAAATGAGAAGTTGCTGTCGAAGATTACTCCAAGGTTGCGGATGTAAGGGGTGGGAGACAGAGTTGTCAACCGATGATGACCATGTATGATTTATCACAGTTGAGGAAGTTGTTTTGCATCAAGGATTTCATTTCAGTGAGGCAGTCGGTGAGAGTGGAGGAAAGGGTTGCAGTGGTGATGGATTTTGTGGAAATTAAGAGTTTAACCTACACCTTATTTTAGGTTCCATGCTGCTCTTTTTGTTAACTTAGTTTTTCTTTGTATTTTGCCAATTTTTTACATAGTGTTTAAACCAACTGGGACCTTTTTGTTTCAGTTGATTGTTTTTGATTTTAGTGTATCTGAGTGCCGGTCATTGTAGAAAACCACAAAAATAAACGACTTTAAATATGAGTTACTCGGGAAAATTAAATAAATATACTAGTCACCCTGTAATAAAGATAATTTTAAATGAATAGTTTCTGTTTGTGATTCTAAACTAACCATTTTATCTTGCAACCAGTGCAAGTTTCCAAATTACATTTAATACAAATTATGAATTCTCTGTCCCACAGTTAATGAACCTATATGTGCCTTGATTACTTGTGAAATTAAGGGTTTGGTTCAAAGGTAAAAAGCCATTAGCGGCCTTCTGCAAGCTATAAATAGCAAATTGCCTCCTCACTTCTCGCTTACGGCCATACCACCCTGAACACGCCCGATCTCGTCCTAATGCCAGGATTGGCTGCCCAATCTCCAATCTATCATCCAATCATGTCACTGTCCATTGTGAGATTGGACCTAAACCAATCACGCCGAGAGTTCACAATGGACAGAGCCACTCACGGCACGGCTTCTCTCCTCACCCGCCCACTTCACCCTGTTGATTGACAGTGGACCTGTCGCGAGGCGCATCAGAGATATGCAAAGTAAGTAACAACACTACATGTTTCTATTTTCCTGTTTACAGTCATAAAACCTATTTTTACACCCGTCGCTTTGGCGTCACCTTTACATTACGTATACGGCAACTTTAGTCTGCATAAAGTTAGCAAGTCTTGTCTAGGTTAAATACACGTTATTATATTAATCAATGTCAACAGTCATCTGTAAATACATCCGATTGACAACAGTCATTTAAATAAGTTGTTAAACGACTCTTGTATGAATGGGCATGTTGTAATTAGTAACTACACTTCTGTGAGCAGTGGTACAGAAGTCATACAGCATATACTGTATACACAGAGTTGGGAAGTAACTAAAAACATTTACTCAAGTACTGTACTTAAGTACAATTTTGAGATACTTGTACTTCCCTTGAGTATTTCCATATTTTTCTACTTTGTACTGCTACTCCACTACAATTCAGAGGTAAATTGTGTACTTTTACTCCACTACATGTGTTTAATACCTTTAGTTACTTTACATATTTGGGTTAAGATGCCTATTGGTCACTGGTGGCGTTTTATGAGTTTATGTTTATCAGTGTATTTGTTAATATAGACACCTAAAGTATATCATATATTATATGATATAAATATCTTTATGTGAGATAAGGGATCGTTGCTCAGTATGATATGATAAAGTGTGTTATATGCTGCAGGAAGGATACAGTATATTGTTGAATATATATTAAAGATAGCTATATACTGTATATAATATTACTTTAATTATAATTCAATAAATCAATAATTGATGGATAAAAGGATAACTTTATGAACATTGTGTTTATACATGATTATGTGTAGATAACCTGTATAAATAATGGTTAACATGGTATCAGTGTTGTTCGCTTTGCAGTGTAGTTCTCTCTAACACTTGCATTTTTATTTTACTTAAAGTTTAGATGAGCACTAAACCTATAAGCCATAAAGAAATGGGAGATGCAGAATGGACTGGCTTTGGCCTTCAGGAGGGATAAACCAGCTCCAAGGCAACGGAAGTGACGTGACCTCTGTCAGAAGGTAAAGTATAGCAACATATAGACCTATTACTTATTATTTACAAATTATAAGTATATTACTGAAAATGTATAATATACTGGTGCAAATATTGTTTCAAAATGATGCCGAAGTAACAACATACTGATACCGGTTAGTAAAAACCATGAATTAATGCTTTGACAAGTCTGCAGACAGACGGCAGGCAAAAAACCTTTTAAAATGCGTGTTTTCTAGATGGAGATTGGCTAAGCTAACGCAGTACTGTATATGCTCCGACCGTCCACACTCACAACAACGGCCTATACAGACATAAATAAACCAGCACTGTATTCGCCATGATACAGACAGTCTGTGGTTTGTACTTGTTTAACTTTTGTCTAGTTTCTGAACAGATATGAGGAGCTGTGAGCTTGAGTGCTAACAGCTAACGGCTGATGTTGTTTTTCTGTGGTTCTCATTGAAGATGACGTGACGGCTCCGCCTACACTGCGTTACTATAGTTACTGCCCCAGCTACTAAACTGTAATGGAAACGCAG